GTTGATATTTATTTTCATATTATTCATACAGTTCCTATTGCTACGGATATTAATGATTATAAAAGAAACAAAACATTGAATTTTAAACAATTGATAGTTTTCCTCTAAATCTGCAGTCTTAAATTTAAAACCAATATAATTTTGCGTTTTTTTTTTCTTTTGCTGGTGCGTTTGTTGATGTGATGTAACAGATACACACAAATTGGATGTTTTCTTTTACGACATAATTTTTTTTAAGTTGGCGTTTTTTACAAATACATATGAAGATTTCTAGGATTCGCAAACTCCTTATAATGCTCATTTTGGGTTAAATAGATTTGCAAGATGTGTCCTGTTATAATTGTCACCATTTTCACAAGGAAAACAAGTGAATTTAAGACATGTCCAATGTTGTTTTCCTTTTAGAGCCTCAGAAGTGTTCATTCAGCATGATGAGGCATTTTCATTCTTATATAAAATACATCTAGACATGTGATACGAAAAAGTAAATGAATGACATCATACTATTGCCTTGGTTTGTGTATTGTTGGAATAATACGACTCAAACTTTTACGTAATACTATTGAGATTATATTTACATAAAATGAATGAAAATTGTAGCAGGTTAAATGGAGCATAATTTAAACCAGACCACTATCAAAAGTGAATGGGTTAAAATCTTATAACAGTTATTATACCACGGTCTATATTGACAAAAACACTTTATGAATAGGATAACATAATTATTCATAAATTATTTATGACGAACAAATACTTTCACTTTTTGTTTAAAATTTATAATGTCTCACCCCTTCTTATAATTGCAGACTCACTTGAGAATCTGTTTGTAAATGACCTTGCCTTTACCTTGAAAGGTTGTATCGTAATTTTTTGTTATTTATACTGTCACGTTCATAATATTTTTGTGTCATGGTCTATGTACATTTGATACAAATAGAATACTAGCACAACAATGTTAAATCTGCAAAGTTGCGGAAGCAAATTTTTGTTCTTCCCTCGCCGGGATTCGAACTCATGCTATTGGGATATCGAGACAACACCGCCTGCACTATGTCCAGCGGTCTGACCACTCGGCCACCTAGACTGAACTAAAAAATTCAGCTTTCGGTGGCCTAGTGTTACCTTTTCTCGTCAGTAGAATCTAGAGTTGTAACACAGTACATGATATATTAGGCATGAAGATGGAATTGATTGCAGATTAGCTAAGTAAACTGTTATATATATATAACCCTTGTTGTGAACAAATGAGTTTATTTATGTCTTTTTATTATTTGTGTGAGTTTTCCTTTCAATCAAACTTTTATAGTTGGTTTTTACAGATCAGGACTAGTTGACCAAAAGTATTCTTTATTTAATTGGTCTTAGTGTAGGGTACTTATTGTTCCCTTGATACTTTTTTATTTTTATTTAGTAAATTTACTAAAAATACCACACAGAAAATAAACATCTCACCTGCTATTATGCGTATGTTACACACAGATTTAGATCGTATTATATGAGACAGGGTGGCTTTGTTTAGTATAGTTTATAGTATATCTATAAAAATAGTTTTAGTTAAGATGTACTTGTATTGGTTAAGTGCACTTGTATTTAAATACTAGTAGATGTAAAGCTTCAATATGATTATTTTGGGATTGTCGCACACTGTCATTTATTGTATAAACTTACTGTTATCAATGTTAAAGTAATTGCTGTAATAAACTTAAAGAATAAGAACCCTAGATGGACTTAAGTTATACTTGCTTAGAAGCCCCGTTACATATATTTACATAACAAAAATATGACTTCCCCGTCTTAAACAGGTCAATGCTCAACACGAATCTCTGTTAATGTAACCACTGTTAAAATTACTAAATGAAACATTGTATGACACATCAAACTCATCATTTATAAGATGTTTTGGGATTTCGGTTTTCATATGAAGTAAGGTGAATGATTAATTCAATAGGTTTTGATATATTTATAAACATATACTCTCTTTTTTCCGGAATTTAAGTACAAACTGAGGGTTATATGTAAAAATAGACAAAGATTTGTATGGTCCTGTATGAAACAAGAGTGGGCGCATTGTTTATCAGCTTTGTTATTTATAATGACCGAATAATATGTTGAATATCTATGACACGAAGGCCAAACAACTACATGTTACTATCTCTAAACAGTTAAATAAAGCTCTATATATAACTCCAAACGTAAGAGTAACTTAAGAAAACTTAATGTTGAACAATGAACCATGAAAATGGGGTCAAGTTGGGTGAACCCTAAACTATTGACAGGATTCTATAAACCATATATATATAGGTAGTATATTATATTGTTTGAGAAACTGACTTATGTACAAATCAGACGAACAACAAGAGACTATTTTTCATTCCCATTTGTCCATTTTCCCTCTTTAGACGTTGATGTTCCTTTTGTCCCTCAAGGTGTGTATATTTCTTAACTTGTTCGAAATGCTCGTGTAGGTAGCGACATTTTAGATTTCAATGAACGTTATCTATGTTTAAGTGGTAAATTATTCAGTCACGGACTTCATTACACTAAATTACTTTTACAATAGAAAAACAAAGGAAGTGGGATATCCATTCATGATATAAAATCAATACATGCACAGCAAAATACACACAAAGCAAAGTCACAGTAAGGCCTTCAACACGTAGCAAAAAAACTCACCTAACTGAAACTTCAGACGGCCCCTAGCAATGATTTGAGCGGAATTCTTTGCAAAATAATTTGGATATTATAGTCTTTGTGAAATGTAACAGATTTGTTTCATTCTTATTCATAGATACAAAGATTTGGTGTTGAAGTTATAAAATCCCTGTGGAATTCTTATTAAAAGCGGGATGTCACATACTAAGCCTTACCGTGATGTTGTTTATAAATCCCTGAAATTTAGATAGGATCCATGTAAACTCATTGATCCTTTAGATAAACTTATTCTTAAAGGATATCATTTCATAATCATAGTAAGATCTTTGAATTTTGTTTTTATCAGTCCTTGCACTGATTTTTTTTTTATATATTAAAACATAATGTAACATGTATGTTTATAATGATCCTAATACCTAATATTCAAATATGTTTTACTTATTAATGAAGTACCGGTAACTGAATCAATCATAGCATTGTCAGTGCTGTGATCCAGCCATTTTATTAGCTTGTCAGACGTGATTTTCTAAGATAACCTTCAAAACTTGGGCAAAGTGATTTTGGTCAAAAATGGACATTTGTGTTAAGACAAAATTTTAATCAGAAAAGAGAGTGGAGAAGACACCAAAGGCAAATAGAAAATTATAAGTCTAATGAACAGACAACACAAGGACTGAAATGTCTTCATTATTATTTCACTAAATAAACTGTTAACACAGAGATATGTCTCACCTATTTGTTATTTTGATAATGCAAATGTTGAAATTAAAATAACAATACTTTAACATGTAAGTTATGCAAATATTCAAAGTCAATGAACCATGACTTAAGGTACAGGGTTAAACAATTTCCATGAAATGAGATGTGCCGATGCTAATACAACTGCATACCAAATACCATTGACTTTTCATAAGTTGTTCCCTTTAAAGAAACATAAACACACACATTAACTTGTAAACTAAGCAATAGTTTCAAAGTCAATAGACCATGACTGAAAGGGTGGGGCCAAATAATCTCCATGGAAATGAGATATGCCAATGTTTATACAACTGCATACCAAATATCATTGACCTACCACTAGCGATTCCCCGTAAACTGACCTAATCACAAACTAATACATGAAAACTAAGCAAAAGTTTCAAAGTCAATAGACCATGACTGAAGGGGCAGGGCCAAATAATCTCCATGGAAATGAGATATGCCAATGCTTATACAACTGCATACCAAATATCATTGACCTACCACTAGTGGTTCACCATAAACTAGACCTAATCACAAACTAATACATTATTGACGCCGCCACTGCTGCCGCCGCCAGAAACAGCATACCTATGTCTCGCTTTTTGACTCCGTCAATTTGAGACAAAAAATCATGACATTCTGGGAGGGAAAAAATTCTTGATCTGTGGTACTTCTGACATTTAAATTATTGAAATCACTGATAGAAAGGCTTAGAAGAGTTGTATGCATAATTTTAAATCATATTCTCAGGTATTGTGGTGAACAAAAAACCTTCACTATTGCATTTAGTTCAAAAAGATAATCACTTTTTTCAGTTGATAAAACAATTAAGCCTGTCTCTCTATATTTACTTGTAAAAGGTTGCTTTTTGGAGTATTTATATGTTTAACATACATACAGTATTTTTCTAACTCATCTTAGGGTCACTTATTGATTTTTGATAAAATTTTAATGAACTGAAGATGAATGGTTTATAGTTTAATTTTCATTTCTATAAGATTCCTAATCAATTTTTTTTCTATGGGCCAAAGATGGAGAATTTCTCAATATTGATGCAAATTCGTTTGATATTTCAATTTCAGAAGGTGCAATGATTTTTTACATCATCTTTTTGTCAACATTTTTCAATATAATAGTTTTGACATAAATGGAAAATGAAATCTTCAAAGGATGGTGTACTATATATTTTTTTGGACATTTCAAATTGAATTAATAATTTCCAGACGGATGCATTGAAAATGCTCTTTTCAACAACAACAAAATATTGAATACTGGGTTACTAATTTTGTTCTAAATTGGTTTTCATTTTTTATTGAGAAAAAATACATTTTCTGTATACAAATACCTTTTAATGTTAAATAGTAATATAATGGGAAATAAACAAATAAATTTTAGTGCAGAAAATGCTCAGGTAAGAGTTATGCAATTTATTAAGCAAGTTACTGATAGTTGTGACTTAAATGAACCTAACTTATTGAGTGATCTCAGATGATTATGACACTGATTTTACAAGTAAAATATAAACCAAATATAGTTGACCAATAAATCAAAGATACTAAAAAACTGACCAGATCACAAATGTTGATGAAAGAACAACAAAAATGATGTCAAAGTCAGGTGCACCTTTTAATGTTTAGACCAATCATAATTCACCTATTACTCAGGGTAAATTAAAGACAATTTAGTTATAAAAAACTTAACGTTGATAAATGAATTGTGACATTGAACTCAATGTCATTTATCCCGTCAAACAGATAAAATCCAACTGAAACTGGTGCTTGGAGCCATCATGAACTTGCTGTTTTGTTAAGATCATGTTGGATGTGATTTGTGTCCTAAACTATCAAACTATGTCTCTTCTTTTCGATCATAACACTAAAGATTCTTACTTTGGCTGAGAAAACAATAACATCTATCCCAATAAGCTCAAAATAAAGATACCACAAATACAGTTAAGTGGGCTTTATATCTAGACTTATATCTAGAAATTGACAAAGGAGGTCATCTTGAGACTTAACTTTACAAGAGAGATGATTTCGATTTTCTCATTGTGGACTTTCCATTTCTCATTAGCAACATTCCTGAATTTGGAGTATTTATCTCTCAATTGATACAATATTTCATCCCTTGCATTTCCTATCATGATTTCCTTGATAGAGAGTTTCAGCTTAAAAGGAAGCCATTGATTGATTGGTTTGTTGTTTGTTTAATGTCTAGTGTCCAGGAAGTTATTGAATGAAGGGTTACAAATGGTAAATTTTAAGTCATGCCTTTTAAGTTTGATGGATTCCATGATATTGCTGATTATGGAATATATGTCGTATATAGTCCTGGATCATGGATATGTTCCAGTTGTCTTGGCCAAAGTCCTGTCCTGTCTTCCTCAAATGTGACATCACTGAATGAGACTTGTCATCATGTGCAACACCAAGGTACAGTGGAGCAAGAACACTTGTGGAACACCTTAGTTCAGTCCCAATTCTGGTGGGGCTTGGGCATGTTGCTAAATCTTAGGTTTCATCAACTTGTCTTTTTGTTGTTTGCTTTTTTACCATGGTGTAATATGTTTTACTTCAACTTATGATTTTTTAGTTTCTCCTTAGTATCTTCTTTCTCTTTTTATCACAAAACTTCTTACTGATCAATAAACTATAAAACGCATTTAAGTTCAGATAATCATACATACCGGTAGATAAGAATGTTCATCTGACTGAATACGATTGCTCAAGAAAATCCTCAGAGAGCAAACTCCGTGCATTTTATCTGAACAGTTCATTGAAATCCGCATTTTATAAGAGGCCAATTACTATTTGAAATGTTTAGAGACAAAAGAAGAAAAAAAGAACCAGCCTATAGAAAGATGAATTAAGATCAACAAATAAGCTCAATATTACAAGTAATATTACTAGATATCATTGAGATGGGAGCCATCTCTGTGGGCCCCCCTGTGAATAATGTGTGGTAAAAAATTTGTATCTTTATCATTGGACATGGGGTTGTCAACTGAAACTGAAGTGTATGACCTTGACCTTTGACCTAGAAAGTTGTACATAAATTATGACACACCCTCTGGTGTTGGCTTATAAACATGTCAAGTATAAACTTTGAAATCATAACAGTTCTCAAGATATAGAGTGGACATGACCTTTACCATAGGACATGGGGTTGTCAACTAAAACCAAAGTTTTTGACCTTGATCTTTGACCTAGGAAGTTGTACATACATTATGACACACCCTCTGGTGTTGGTTTATATACATGTCAAGTATAAACTTTGAAGTCATAACAGTTCTCAAGATATAGAGCAGACACGATCTTTACCATAGGACATTGGGTTGTCAACTAAAACCAAAGTTTTTGACCTTGACCTTTAACCTAGGAAGTTGTACATACATTATGACACACCCTCTGGTGTTGGTTAATATACATGTCAAGTATAAACTTTGAAATCATAACGGTTCTCTAGATATAGAGTGGACACAATTTGTTACGGACGGACAGACTGATCACTATAGGGGCGTCCGCCATTCGGCAAGGCCCTAATTATGCTAGCCATCTAGCTGCATACTCCTGCTGAAGAAAAATAACATCTGCAGACTTTATTTTGTACAATAAAGACCTCCAGGGGGGATTTCGGTATAACAGGACCTTATGCATCTCTTATACATGTCATAAGTAATTATAATCTAATATTCTATGGTTTTAATTGAGTTCATTTATTTTATATTTATTTTTGACTCCTTTGCCCTTTTCAGGGTACTAAAGGATTTCAAGTGTTAGGTCAGCACCAATTTGTAATCTCAATTTGAATACTTAATTTGTCAATGTTTAAGTTCTATTAATACCACTGAAAAGTATTTTTGGCAGATAACCTATCCACTAGTAAGATGTTGTTATTAGAGACTGATCAAATTTTTTTAAGTATTCTTAAGTATGTGGGTCCTATATACACCTTGACCTCTTGCAAGGTCACTTAAATATTGTTTACAAAACATAACAATAATAACACTTTGATATTAAAAATAGACACAATTCATTCAACTTCTTGCACTGATCCATTTCTTGTAGATTAAACAGCATTACTTAATGTCATTGTCTTCATAACCTGTAGAAACTTGTCCTTATATATAAGATGTCACATTTTAATTCAGTCAATGGAATGTTTATTTTGACTATGGAATGTGCAAGATACAAAAAGTACATAAGGTTGATGTCTCTGAATTGTACCAATATACAGACAGTATATTATTATTAGCTTGCTTGTTGTCTCCTATACGTGAATTTAAGATAGTTCTGCTTAGCTGGTTCATCCACTTCATAGACCTGCAAAAAGAAATATACAACTTCTCATTTTAATAACAGACAATATTTAAATCATATTACTTTTCACTGGAAAAAATTAAGTTAGATTTCTCAAAACAAACTTCATAAAATTGCATACGTAACTTTTGATTTTTTCTTGAATTTTGACTTGTCACTTGAAATTATTCATACCCTACTCCACCCTTTTTGTATAGATATAGCAAAGTTTTTGTGATGTTATAATATTCAAGATTCAAGGTCAGATAAATATCCAGTCGCTAATGTATCTGCACTGGATATTAAAACAGCTAAATGACTGGTGGATTTTTTTATGTTTCAGTAAATTTCAAACAACAGCTGATTTTTGTATGTAACTGTGAACATCTAACCTGATGATATAAGTTATTAGGTAAACATCAAACCAACGTTGTTACGTCTTGTGTGACTTAATTTAAATTATCATACATGGTAATCATCCAGCCTTGATTTTTGGCTTAAGATAATTATGTGTAAAATTACCCTATTTTACTATATACAAGTAATTCGATGGGGAAACCACATTGTTATACAACCATTTTTGTTCTATGAAACAAAAAATTCAAACTTGATCTGTGTTTTGTCATAATAAGCATTGTGTATAAGTTTCATAACATTTGGTTGAGGCAAACTTAAGTGAGAGAACGGAAACTAAAAATTTTGTAATTTTTTCATTTATAAAGGGGCATAACTCTAGAACGGTTAGAGTGACGCTAACAAAATTCAAACTTGATCTGTATTATGTGATAATAAGCATTGTGTATAAGTTTCATAACATTTGGTTGAGGCAAACATTAGTTAGAGAACGGAAACTAAAAAATTTGGAATTTTTCCATTAATAAAGGGGCATAACTCTAGAACTGTTAAAGTGACGCCACCAACATTCAAGCTTGATCTGTATTTTGTGGTAATACGCATTGTGTATAAGTTTCATAAGTTAAGCAAACTCAAGTTAGAGAACGGAAACCAATTTTGGGATGTACGTACGTATCGACAGACAAGGGTAAAACTTAATGCCCCTTCTGCTACAGCGGTACGTACAAGGGTAAAACTTAATGCCCCCTCCGCTACGGCGGTACTTACGTACATACAGACTGACAAGGGTAAAACTTAATGCCCCCTCCGCTACGGCGGGAGCATAAAAAATAACTTGGGTATGAAAATAGAACAAGATATGAATAAAAAGATATACTGAGTACACATCAATGAGAGCCTCAACCCAACAACACAACAAACCATATTCTAATAATACTCTAATGTCGAAACAATTAATTGGGATTTTAAATCGCTCCTAGAAAAATTGTAAATAAATTAAACAGAAACAATCAAAGGTCTACTATCAACATTAAATTTCTTTAACGACAAAAGAGATGAACAATCACTGATAAGAACCCTTACTTAGGACAGGCACATACAGATGTGGCAGGGTTAAACTAGTTTTTTGAGATTTCAACCCTCTCTTTTTTTTAATCATGCTCAGTGGAATAGTAAAAGGTACATTATAGAAAATAAATTCTAACAAGAGTGCACATGCTGAAATGTCTTGCCTACTTATTTTTTAATCAATATTGAATAATAATAATAATGAGATCAAGGACAAATGAAACCTGCCAGACAGACATGCTCACCATACAATCAAGCCATACACCAAATATAGTTGACCTTTTGCCTAATGTATCTGATAAATGACAAAACCATGCAAAATTAAAATTGACCAATGAACCATGAAAATAAGGTCAAGGTCAGATGAATACTAACAGACAGGAATATACACCTTGTAATCATTCCAAACACCAAATATGGTTGATCAACTGCTTATAGTATATAATTAAATGACAAAACCATGAAAACTTAACATTGACCAATGATCCATGAAAATGAGGTCAAGGTCAGATGAACATTGCCAGACAGATATGTACACCTTTTAATCATTCGAAACACCAAATATGGTTGACCCTCTGCTTATAGTATCTAATTAAATGACAAAACCATGATATAAGGGTCAAGGTCATATGAAACCTGCCAGATAGACATGTCAACCTTACAATCATTCCATACACCAATTATAGAGGTCCTATTGCTTATAGTATCTGAGAAATAGACCAAACTACTAAAAGAGTGCACACGCTGAAAAGTCCCGCCTACTATACTGACCAATGTTTTACTACAAATATCACATTAACATTTATGATCCAAGAAAATGAGGTCAAAGTCAGATAAACCAAGTCAGAAATACATGTACACCTTTAATACAATCATTCCATACACCAAATATAGATGATGTATTGCTTATAATATAAAAGAAACAGACCAAACCATAGAGAAATTTTATATTGACCAATGAATCATGAAAATGAGGTCAAGGTCAGATAAAACCTGCCAGACAGACATGTACACCTTAAAATCATTCCATGCATCTAATATAGTTGACCTATTGCTTATAGTATCTAAGAAACAAAGTTAACCAGGAAAACTGAACATTGACCAATGAACCATGAAAATGAGGTCAAGGTCAGATGATACCTGCCAGACAGACATATGCACCTTACAATCATTCCATACACCAAATATAGTTGACCTATTGCTTAAACTTTAAGAAAAACAGACCAAAACACAAAAACTTAACATTGAGCAAAGAACCATGAATATGAGGACAAGGTCAAATAAAACCTGCCACAATGACATGTACATCGTAAAATATTTCCATACACCAAATATAGTTGACCTATTGCATACAGTATTAGAAAAACAGACCAAAACACAAAAAACTTAACTTTAACCACTGAACCATGAAAATGAGATCAAGGTCAGATCAAACCTGCCAGTTGGACATGTACACCTTAAGATCATTATATACACCAAATATAGTAGACATATTGCTTATAGTATCTGAGATATGGACTTGACCACAAATACTCAACCTTGTTCACTGATCCATGAAATGAGGTCGAGGTCAAGTGAAAACTGTCTGACAGACATGAGGACCTTGCAAGGTACGCACATAGCAATATATAGTTATCCTATTACTCATTATAAGAGAGAAATTAACATTACAAAAAATCTTAACTTTTTTTTAAAGTAGTCACTGAACCGTGAAAATGAGGTCAAGGACAATAGAAATATGACAGACGGAAACTTCATATCATAAGGCATCTATATACAAAGTATGAAGCATCCAGGTCTTCTACCTTCTATAATATTAAGCTTTTAAGAAGTTAGTTAACCCAGCTGCCACCAGATCCCTATCCCTAGGTTGAGCTTTCTGCGACATGAGGTCGAGGTCAGGTGAACCCTGTCGGAAGGACATGAAGACATGCAAGGAACCCATATACCAACTATAGTTATACTATTATATCCTCATAATAAGTGAGAAATTCACACATAAAAAAAAATCTTATTTTTTCAAACAGTCACTGAACCATGAAAATGAGGTCAAGAACAATGAGCATGTGACAGACAGAATATTCTTAACATAAGGTATCTGTATACAAGGTAAGAGGCATCAGGTCTTCTACCTTCTGAAATATAAAGCTTTAATGAAATAGTTTCCAATGTCACCACCACCACCCATCGTCGTCATATTGTAATCCCTATGTCTTGCATTCTGTGACTTTCATTGCAGGCAAGACAAAAATCTGTAAAGCACATATTCAAGCACTATATAATGCTATAATACCAGTATAAATATAACAAGAGTGCACACACTGGAATGTCAGGCCTGCTTAACTGATCATGATTGAGTGTATGTTGAAAGTCTTAGAGAAAAGGGTTATAAATCAAGTATTACATCAAATTAACATTATCAATGATCCATTTCAATGATCTGTGCAAGATGGACATGTACACCTTACAATCATTCCATACACTAAATATAGTTAACCTTATTGGTTATTGTTGCTGAGAAACAGATCTAACCAAGAAAACTAAACTTTGACCAATGAACCATGAAAATGGGGTCATGGTCAGATGAACTCTGGTTAAACAGAAATGTCCACCTTCAATCATTCAATACACCACATATACTTAACTTTTTGCTTATAGTTTCCCAGAAAAGGACTTAACCATGAAAACATATCACTGAACTGTGAACCAGGAAAATGAGGTCAAGGTCAGATGAAACCTGCAATAGATTCCATACACCAAATATAGCTGACCGTACTGAGGTTGAGTTTGAGGTCAGGTGAACCCTGTCTGACAGTCGTAGACCTTGCAAGGATCCCATAAATCAATTATAGTTATCCTATTACTCATAAGAAGCGAAAACTCACATGATAAAAAAAGTCAAACTATTTTTTAAGCATGAAAGTGAGGTCAAGGACAAAGAATACAAGGCAGACAGAAAAGTTCAGAACATAAGTCATCTGTAAACAAGATATGAAGTATCAAGGTCTTATACCTTCTGAAAGATGAAGCTTAAAAAAAATAGTTTATATCATGGCTGCTGCTGCTGTCTGAGAGGATTACCTTCACTATGTCTTGCATTCTGACGCATTCATCACACAGGAACTAAAAATTACATGCATGAAGTATTATCAAATAGGAAGTGACAGTCTTGCATATCTATCTATTAAGGTTTTTAAGATAATATACAATACCAAAAAAAATCGGACACATTTTTAAATTATAAATCCCAAGGATGATTGTGGCCAAGTAGTTTGAGAGAAGATTTTTTAAAAAGTAAAGGGACGATGGATTACAATAGCTACAGACACCCTTTTGGCCAGGCCAGCTAAAAAGGAGTCCATGCTTGATGACATTTCATAGAAAATACACAATTTTTTGCAATGAAAAAGAAAATCAAGTATGTCTCTATGTCTTCTAGTAATTAGAGAAACAGATTCTACAACTCCATTTCATGCAATATATAGATTCCACCACTGCATCAAGTGTGTTACTATATTTCTCCACTCGAGATGGTTAAATTTTAAAATTTAAAGCGCAAGGCTTGCCGAAAGTGGAGAAATATCGTAATACACGAGATATAA